GATAGGTTGTTCACCACACGAAGTAGAAAACACATCAACTCATCCTGCTACTAACAACAATAAATACCAAAGACAATTACAGATCAAACATTCACATATAATGACACACTCTGTAAAACAAGGAAGGGGCAAAAGATGTTCAAATCTTACCTAAAACTGTAAGACAACTACAAGAGAAAGCAGACCTGATTTTGAACTGTCAAATGATACATTAGTTAGAGCCAACATTTTTACCACTGCAGAAATAAAAATATAATTTATCAGAACTGCTAAAACAAATACATCAAGGGTACATTGTATGCCAAAAGAATTAATATTCTGAGAGGAGTGAAATTTCAATCCAAAAGTACTAGGAAAGACTGCTCTAATGCTCAAAGTGTGTTGTTTCAGATCAGCCTTAACTAGCAAAGTAAGGAGCATAATAAAGTCTCATCTTTAAATACCTGACAGATTTAGAGTTAGAATATTTTGAGACATAGCCTCACTGTAACCCGGAGTGACCTCAAAACTCAAGGTGACCTTCGAATTTATTCTCTTCAGCCTCTAGATTAATAAATTTCTGGCCAGGGGACGGGGTGGGGGGTGGTTGCATATGCCTTTACTCCCAGCACTCAGGAGGCAGAGGCAGCCAGATCTCTGTGAGTTCAAGACCAGCCTGGTCTACAAGAGCTATTTCCAGAACAGCCTCCAAATGACAACAAGTAAGTTTCTGTGCATGCCTTTAATCCTAACAATTGGGAGGCAGAGGCACGCAGATCTCTGTGAGCTCAAGGCCAGTCTGATCTACAAAGTGAGTTCCACGACAAAACAAGAAATAAATAAAAATAAAGTTTGTAGGCTGAGCCTAAGTACAAAAACTGGTACATATAAACAAGAAACATGCAATCAAGTCACAAAAACTCAGATGTAACTGATCAACTTTTCAAAATAAATTTTCTTGGAAAGATTTCGATGCTTTATAAATCTACAATTGAAAATGGTACAAGGGATCCCAGATGTGGTAGTGAACAAGTTCATGGATAACCATGTGGTTCATGAGATACCAGACACATCTGTGTATAATAACTTTGAAGCTGAAAATGGGGAAAACTCTTCCTGTATTCAACAAATTATACCTAGAATTCAACATTTACTCTATAAACCAATTTCCTTACTTGAAAAGAACAATATCACTATAAATCACTATAAGGATTATTAAATTTGGAATGTGGTGACTTATTTTTTTTAAACATTTATTGTGTTCATGTGTGTATATGTGTATGTATATTGTGTGAGTCACAGCTATGTGTGGAGGTCAGAGAACAACCTGCAGTTAGTTCTCTCCTATCATATGAGTTCCAAAGATGAAACTCAAGGTTGTCACTTGGCAACATGCACCTTTATCCCATGAACCATCACCACGATGGACATAAAGCCAATGGTTTGTGATCAGACATTAAAAAGCCCCTAAAGAGAGGAATGCTGGAACCTAGAGCACTGAAGTTTAACATACTTTACAATCACCCAAACCACATTCTAACACTACTCTCCTTACTAAAGTAACTCACTCTACCACAAACGTGAGTTCTGATTTCTACTCACTCAAAATCTTAATAATCCCCAACTCCTACCTATATGTTAACTTAGCTTTTGCTCTAACTGAAGTTTCAATTCTGAATAAATGTCTAAAAGCTGTGTGTTGTTCTCTTGAAGTTTTGTCAATGCTTTCTCCAGAGGCTTTACTGATCTCTAACCACTAATTCCAATAAAAGGTTGAACTATAATGTAAAACCCTACTCACTTTCAACTTTGTATCAAAACTGTAGTCTGTAATTATTACATAAGGAAAAACTATCTTTGAAGGACAGAAAAAGTCCACTTAGACGGCTGAGAGTGCAGCTTTGTAGGGCAGTTCAATGGGGGGGGGGCACTTAACTCAAGAAAAAGAAGTACAATTTACTCAGCTCGATTTTCAAAAGTATATAGATACACATATGAAACTTTTGAGTTTGACTTTAAAAAACTGGTAGGCCAGGCAATGGTGGTGTACCCCTTTAATCCCAGCAGAGGCAGGCAATCTCTTTTGAGTTCAAGGCTTTGTTTATAAAGAAGTTCCAAAACAGCCAGAGCTGTTAAACAGAAACCCTGTCTTGAAAAAGCCAAAACAAAAAAACATATGCAGAAGGATTCATTCACTCTTCCTTTCCTAATGCCACCAAAGTTCAATGATATTGTAAATGGTTGCTGCCCATAAGCTTGGTTCAATCAAATGAAATATTACCTGACTGACTCATGGAAGGAGTGGTCTGACTTCTGTTCTGAGTCAGAAATACCCAGTTCAGCAGTTCTGAACTATTTTTCACTGGTAAAGGTGTTCTGAAATGTCAGCTTTTCTAGATACTAAATGTAACAAGCTGTTGTTGCCTTAGTAATATTTTTGCATCTGGAGTTCAACTCATAATTAACAAGAGAACTTTCAAGTGTATTCTCTTACATGTGATTTGCAATCTCTTGACTTAATTATCTGCACATCCCAAGAGAAAAACTTTCAAAGTGGCCACTTCAGTTGACTCCTCAGCTCCAATAAATGCCCCCCATAGCACACACAAAATCACCAAACATAAAAGTCTGCTACATTTCTTTAATCAGATTTTCCTCCCAGACATATTCCAGGTGCCTCATAAAAACTGTCTCAAAGCACACACCCTGGGGCCCCAAGACAGTTTCAAGGTAGAATCTCCTCCCACATAAAAGCTTAGCTTAGGCCCCCAAAAGCCTCAAGTCAGCATCTCCTACAAAGATGCTCTTGCCTCAAAGACACCAAGTCTTCTCCATTCACTTCCACAGCTCTTGGGTGTGCAAACTGCTAGATCACTGAAGAAAAAAAAAAAATCTCAAAGTGAGACATGCTATTGAGAGAATGGTTTAGTGTCCTGGAAAAATCATGGGCTTCAGATGACCTTACTTTTTAATCCTTCTTATCTGTGTGACTTGGGACAAGTTACTAACAAAGCAACTGCTCTTCATCTCATCACTATGAAGTCCAGGAGGGCACATCATCAAATCCCTAGTGCCTGGCAAATAGAAGCATCTCAAAAATGTGCAAAAACAAATGCTAAGGAGGATATCCTCCACCTTTATCCTGGCTGTGAGAATTAAGTGAATATTAAAAACAAAAACAAAACAACACACACACACACACCTGTAGCACAGTGGCTACTTACTACTAATTACTCCCATCTTCCAGTGAGTTGAAATACTACTTCTCAAGCATAGTATGAGAAAAGGAACACTAAGGAAACCATTCATTTCCACCTAAGCTTGGTGGGTCATGCCTGCCATCCCAGCACTTGGGAAGCTGCAGCAATAGTACTACCACAAATGCCAGGTCAGCATGAACTGCAGTTAAGTTCAGGCCAGGCAACAAAATGAGACTCTATATAAAAACTAAAAAACAGCTCTTTTCACTAACAAACATTTGATCAGATGTTATATATATGTACATTTTTCAACTTCAAGCAACACTGATTTTTGTCTGTAATTCTACACCCACTATCAAAAAGAACCACCTTTTCCCCCTTTCTTCCCAACATTTTTCGGTAGTAGTAACAATGGGGATTAAACCTAGGACTTCCCTATCAAGGCCAGTGCTTTACCACGGAGCTATTTCCTTCCCCTGACTCCCTTTTACTATTTTGAGATAAGCTCTCCAAGTTTCACAAACTGTCCTTGAATCTTCCATCCTCTGGCCTCTGACCTCCAAGTAGTGGAGATTACAGAGCTGTGGCACCAGCCTCAGCTTTGCTTACTTATTTCCAATTACCTTCTATGATTACATCATTAAAGTATAAAAGCTGTACAAACAGTTCTTCAACCTACTTATACACCTATAATCTTAACACTTGAAGGCAGGAGAATCAGAGTTCTAAGCCAAACTGTGTTGCAATGAGTTTGAGGCCATACTGAACTACAAGAATTCCTAAAAACAGCAAAATAAAACAAATGAAACAAAATAATCCTTCTTCAACCCCAGAGAAAAACCCATTAACAATCACATAGGATCATTCAATCCCGAACTAAAAATGCCCGGATCAGAAAACAAAGCCCTGCTAACGTGTTCTTCTAGCAGCAGCCTTAGTTTCCTTTCGCACACTAACAAGGCTTAACTTCTCTCACTTCCTGTCTGAAACAGCTCAGTAACAAGAGCGCGGAAACAAGCAGATACCATATTCATATCCAGCTACAGCGACGCATTTACTGAATGCCTACAACGACACGATTATTCACTTTGTATTTCGTGACAAATCCAAAGATAGGAACTCCACTATGGGACATTCTTTATCGACATTTACACTATGACTGTTTCTTAGGCGCTTTCCTGCAGAAAAAATAGAGTCACTGCCTAAAAGATACTGCGGTTTACCTCACTAAATATCCTTGACCTGAACACGAAGCATTTACCTACCAAGAAAAAGTTTACGCTTCTCAATACGCTACTGGCAAAAACTCAGGATCCTGGGCAAGAGCCAAGCTTGGTTAGTTAGCTTTGGGAAATGGGGGTGAGGAGGCTGGCAAAGACATCTCTGGGAATTAAGAAATTTACAAACATTTTTACGAAAGGGGAGAGAAGCGCCAGAGATCAGCGTCAAGGGAGACTCAACCCCTTTTCTCTTACTTGACCGCAACTCATGGATCCCACGATTCCGAGTGAGTGAGTGAAACCCTGGCTGGACACGGAGGTTCACTAGCAACACAAAGACCAAGGGGCCTCCTGGACGCCTGTGCTCACGCGCCGGACAAACGCAGGCGCACCCCTGCACACCTCCGCGTCCGCCACACTTCTCGTCGCCCCCACTCGCTGTCGCCACACCTTCGCCCCCACAAGGACACATGCTGCCCGCACACGCACCTTCTCCCGCATTCTTTCACGCTCGCTCGCTCGCTCCCCCACCTCGAGCCGCGCTCCCCGCCCCTTGCCCGGCCCGGCCCTCCTTCCGGGGACGTGTCTCGGGCCTGCTCTAATGGCAGCGGCGCCTCCCGCCCTCCCCTACCCGAGGCCCGGGCGCCTCGCGGGGCCGCCCGGGAGGGGCGCACTCACGCTGGCGAGCTGGGAACTGGGCATTGAAGGCCGGCGGAGGCGGGAGCGAGGAGGCGCCTCTCTCCTCAGTCACCTCGGCGGCGGCGGCGGCGGCGGGAGCGGCGGCGGCGGCGGCGACGACTCCCCCCCAGCCTCGGCGCGCGACACCCGGCCCGGCCCGGCGGCGGCGGCGGCGCGTGTCCACGAGTCCGTCTTGCTGCTGCTACTGCCGCTGCTGCCGCTGCGTCCCCCGCTGCCGCCGCTGCCCCCGCTGCCGCCGCTGCCTCCTGGCGTCGCCTCGCGCCGTTCCCGGCCGCCGCTGCCGCTCCAGCCGCTCCCGGACGGACGACGGTTACAGCCTGGCCGATCGCGCCGCCGCCACCACCGCTGCGCGCGCAGCCGGACCAGCTCCCGCCGCCGCCCCTCAGGGGGCGCTGCGGGGCGCGGCGCGCGCGGCCATGACCACGCCCTCGGTGCCACTGATTGGCTATCGGCGGCTCGCGGCGGTTGGCCCCGCCCACCAAGCCTACGGGGCGCTGACCTACTGCCCTGGGCTCCTGCCGCGCTCCGCCTCCTCGTGGTTTGCTCCGCTCGGCACTGGGGGCGACGGAAGGCGCGTCCATGTGACCGGAGCGGGGTGGGGGGGAGAGGGGTGACGAACGTGGCCGAGGAAAGCGCCCGCCCACGCTGAGGCCCGCCCATCCGCACCTGGGTTTAAGTTAGAGCCTCTGGCCACCCGGTGACCCGCAAGGTCGCGGGCGGGTTCCCGTCTTCGAGAGGCGCGGCCTCGGGCCAGATCCCGCTGGGACTGGAACTGGGCGGCAACTGAGGCCTGAGCACAGACGGGGATTTCCTGCTCAGAAGTGGGGAACCGAGTAACTTAGTACTTGGCTGCTCTTCCTGGAGGCCTCGAATGGCATGTACTTCTCCGCGAAGGGTCTTTCTGCCCTGCTCCCCAGCCTCCTCCCGGGCTAGCAATACACAGACCTCTTCCTTGACAGACGGAAATCCAGAACAATTTTTTCCTAAGTATTTTCAACTATTAATCGGAAATAATCCCATCTTCACAAATGTTCTTCAGTACCAACATAAAGTATGAAGAATAAGCGTGATTAAAACAAAAACAAAACTGTAGAGGTGGGTCTATAGTTCCTTGCATGTTAGGCCCTAAATTCAATCTTGGCACCGCAAAAAAAAAAAAAAAAAATTAAGATTGGATGTCAAGATTGCGGATCTAATCAATGCCCCTTTTAATGAGTTGAAGATTATCCTGGAGATTCTCATTTGGAAAGGTTTTTGCCTTTGAAACCTGGCCAGAAATTCTTTGTCAGATCCTGTGTCCTGAGTTCTGGTTAGGAAAATGTGGTTACCAGTGAGTTATGAGACTGGTTTGGGCTATTGCCAGTTGGAACAAGAAAATGCCCTCCTGGAGGCTGGTTTGAGAAGTAGGTAGACTCCCACAGAGAGATGGGAGTGAGGAGACTTTCCATCCTAGGAAATCTCACCTGCCCAGAATTGACACCTATTTACAAAAAAATCTACCCCCAACAGTCATCCTGCCCTTGGCCTGTGAGGAAAAGCAGTGGTCAGTGGTCATTAGCCCTTCCCCACAAGGCAGACCTGGAGCATCGTTCCAGAGCCTTCCATTAGAACTTAAGTTTTAAAAGGAAAGGAAAGATCTTAATGACTCAGCCTCATCGAGCCACAGCACAGAACTCAGTTGTTTACCACCAGCAAGTGGCCCAGGAGGGGAGTATTTTAGGGCAAGGCTAACTGGCTTTGCTGCGTGGGAGTTAAAAGGCCTTGAGGAACAAGAGAGAGACTGCAGATTAGAATCAAGGCCCCTGGCTGATGCTGAGGAAGCTCATCAGCTGCCTGCATTATTCTACCAGCCTCTGTCAGGCGGTCTTTTCTCCCGACAGAATGGAAAGGAAGAACTTTTGCTGCATTTCCTGGTTATTTACTGACGCTTCCTATATCTGTGGCCTCAAACAGCTTATTATGCCCGCTCTATCATAGCACACACAACATACGATAAATGCCTGTTTTCATGAACGAATGAATCTTCTTCCGTCCATCTGACTCTCAACCTGGCCCTAAAATAAAAGTAAGTAAGATAACATAAGGATAACAATAATAGCTACACTAATAGCCATTTTTAAAGCATCTACTCTACTCCAAGTTTTGGGCAAGGTGCTTTTAAATAAATTACCAAATTTATGCTTCCAAATAACCCTATGAAGAAGGTATTATTAACTCATTTTAAAAGAGAATCGAGGCTTGGAGAAATAAAAGGACAAGCAGAACTTGGCCCAGGTCTGTCCGCCTCTGGGGTCCAAATGATCATGTTATTCCCTGACTTCTGTCAATAATTAGTGTTCCTCAGCGTAACCTGGAAAGTCTTCAAGTTTTCAGAGACCTTGGGCACAGGCCCCTAAGAGACCATAGAGTCACCATCACTCTGCCCTTACCCACAGGCCAGCAAGGAAGTGTGCTGGCCTGTCAAATCTAGATGTTTTCCCAGAGAAGGCAATAATTCGGCTTTACTTCCTCCTTGCCATAAACAGATCAGGAACCAGGCTGCAAGTGCCTTATTAAACACAAACCACCCTTGGCAGTGAGTTTCACACATAAGTACCCTGAGTTTATCCAGGGCCATTGCTGAGGCAATTCCAAGTGCCATTAGCTTATTAATCCTCCCAGCACCCCTGTGAAGCTAAGCTTGTGGTATTCCTGGCTCATTTTACAGAGCATGATCTCCTTGGAGGCAGAAGCTGTGTGGGCCCATTGTAAGCAGCAATACCAAAGAAGTAATGGGGGTATGGCAGAGAAACCTAAGTGCTGAGATCAGGAGACAGCCCAGGTACCTGGTTCCCATTCTGTGAGTCTATACCCTTTCACCTGGCATCCTTGCAAAAGTCACAAAGTTGCTGTGCAACCTTGGGTCCTGGTTAGATTTTTTTTTTTTTTTTTTTTTGGTCAACTTAGGACAAGCCAGTGTCATTGGTGAAGAGATAATTTTCAGTAGTGAAGATGTCACCATTAGAATGGCCCTCTGGACAGATGGTCCTAGGGTATATAAGACAGCAAGCTGAGCAAGCCCCGAAGAGCAGGCCAGTAAGTAGTACTCCTCCATGCCCTCTGCTTCAGTTCTTGCCTCCAGGTTCCTTTGGGGGAGGTGCGGGGGGAGTTTGAGAAAGGGTTTCTCTGTGTTGTTTTGGAGCCTGTCCTGGAACTCACTCTGTAGACTAGGCTGGCCTGGAACTCAGAGATCCACCTGTCTCTGCCTCCCAAGTGCTGGGACTAAAGGCATGTAACACTAACGCCAGGCTGCCTCCAGGTTCTTGACAAGTTCCTGCCCTGACTTCCTTCAAGCTGGACTATAAAGTGAGGTGAAATAAACCCTTTCCCCCCAGGTTCCTTTTGGTCATGGTGTTTATCACAGCAATAGCAGGCAAACTAAGACCCCATAGAACCTTATTTCAAGTGTCAAAGTCTTAGTTTCCCCTTCTATGAAATGAAAAGGTGGGGCTAAGGAGCTAGCCTTAGTAAAGTACTTGTTTCAAGCTTGAAGACCTCTGTTCAAGCCCCAGAACTGATATTAAAAATAAATGCATAAATAAAGATGTGGTGATAAGCATTTGAAGTCCCAGCATTGAGGAAGTGGAGACAGGTGTCTCCCCTCACTGACTAGCCTGCCTAGCCTACAGAGTCTCAAAGGCCAGTGAGAAACCCTGCCTCAAAAAAGACAAGGTAAAGCCTGGCAGTTGTGGTGCATGCTTTTAATCCAAGCACTCAGGAAGCAGGCAGATCTCTGTGAGTTTGAGGCCAGTCTGGTCTATAGAGTGAGTTTCAGGCTATAGAGTGAGTTCTCCAAAGCTACAGAGAAACCACTGGCTTGAAAAAGAGCAACAAAAAAAAAAAAAAAAAAAAAAAAAAAAAAAAGACAGGTGGCCAGCCAGGCACAGTGGTGCACACTTTTAATCACAGCACTTGGGAGGCAGAGGCAGTAAGATCTCTGAGTTTGAGACCACTCTGATCTACATAGTGAGTGCCAGGACAACCAGAGCTACATAATGAGACCCTGTCTTGTACCCCCTCCCACAAAAGACAAAGTGGGTGTTTCCTAAGAAACAGCACCCAAGGTTGCCCTCTGACCTCCATGCTCACCAGCACACACACAAAATGAAAAGTCATTTAGTTACATGCCGTCACTAAATAGAGTTAGGGATATAGCTCAATAGTAGAGCACATACCTAGTATGCACAAAGCCTGATTTCACTTTCCAGCAACAAAATAAAAAAGGTTTTGGTTTTTATTTGTTTTTGTTTTTTTGGTTTTTTTTTTTTTTTTTTTTTTTTTTTGCAAGATTGACACAAGTTTGAAGCAAGCCTAGTGAGTTCCAAGTTAGTCCAGGGCAGCCTGGACTACAGTGTGAGAGCTTGTGTTACCCCTATGTTTTTAAAAAGAGCAGAGACTTCATAGATTTCATACTAAAACTCTGCTCTTGAAACTTAAAATTCTGATCAAGAAAACTTCCTCATCTATACCAGGGCATGCGATCAGATCTCTTTCATCCCAGTTGTGGGAAACCTAGAAACTAAAGACACCATATTTGAAGTGTCTGGCACAGATTCGGTGGTCCATCCTTTTTACTTTTCTACCCCTTATATAAAAAAGCTTTGCCTTTCAATGACCTCAAGTAAAGGAAGTAGCAGGGTGTGGTGGGAAATGTTTGCAACCAACAAAGCTAAGGTTATTCCAGGCTCAGCCACTCTGTGACCAGGTGGAAGTTACCTATGCTTTCTGAGCCCAGATTTCCCAGCCTCTGATACTGAATGTAAGTTTATAGGCATCTATAACATCATGCTAGGGGATACTGATGAACACACACTCAGACTTACAGGAAGGGCCAAGTGGTTTCACAGCTAAAACTCTTCGGCCCGAAACCAAATGGGTCATGAGCTGCAAATTAAGCCAACCAGGCTCTACAAAGTTCAGATGAACATGGGAAATTCCCGCCTAGCATTGCTCAGTTTGTCCGGACCCTGCCAGTGAAGCGGTTAAGAGAAGGCTGTGAGAATTGGCCCAACCCTCCCAAGAGTGATAACCCAAGAGGGGGAGGAAGGAATGTACTGATTCACCGCCCCACCCATCCCCTGCCTCTAATCTCTCTTCCGGAATTTTACAGCCCTCTTTCACTGGGGAGAAGTAGAGGGGGCAGGGCGCCAGTGCCAGTTCCAGTCCTCTGCAGCACACGCACACACACACACTCTCTCTCTCTCTCTCTCTCTCTCTCTCTCCCCCTCTCTCTCAGCACACATTCTCTCTCTCTCTCTCTCTCTCTCTCTCTCTCTCTCTCTCTCACACACACACACACACACACACACACACACACACACACGCCCTGCAGGTCCTCTGGTACAGGAAGCCCAGGGGCCCGGGTGTCAAATGTACACCCGGTAGCTGCTCCCCTGTGCACTCGGGTGTAGGGGAACCTTGAGAGGAGTGGGAGGAGCTGTGGATTCTGGAAGACAGTC